GCATCACTCACACCGCATCGCTCCCACTCCGTGCGGGGCTGACCCAGGCAGGGCTTGGTCCCCTCCAGCCCCTGCTCCCTTGCAGCTAGGGCTCTTTGATTGGGATTTCAGGGTTGGGGAGGCGCTGCGGGATAAGGATGCTGCTCTCGGCTGGCTGTGCTCTGCCCTTTGATGGGCAAATTCATGTTTAAATAGAATTAACTGTGGGGAAAGGAAATAGGAGTGCACTAGCAAGGGCAGGTGTTCTCTAACACTCCTCCTCTGGTCTCCCTCTGTTTTGTTCCTGTTCTCCACCTGTGTGCCAGGAACAACCCAGCCTGGCTCGTGGAGGGATGTTGTGGCTGCAGGGTTGCTCGCTGCAGTTCTCCTCATCCCATCCCATCAGAAAAAAAGTTGATTAAGAGTGGTTTATTCACCTGAAAAACGGCTCCCAGCAGTCCTGCCAAGGTCAGTGTGAACTGCTGAGCTAGTGCTCTGCTGTGAGCCACAGCTGGGTCTCACACATTGACCTTTTCCAGGCATGAAGGACACCTCAGGGAGAGGGAGCACCCAAGCCCTCCCTTCCCATGCTCTTCTCTCTGTCCTCTCCAGGGATCTGTCCATTCTGTCCATGTGCTTGCTCCTCACTTATCTAGAAAAGAATAGCATGGACTTTCTTCAGGTCAAACAAGATCCACGTGTATATGAAACCTGGGTAGGGATTTAATCAAAGCAGCTTTGTGCATGGGGCCCTGCAGAGTTCAGCTTGGTCACCACCCTTCAGCCAGCCACAAGGACGTCCTACATGGGGAGCAGGGTCTGGATAGTCCATTCTCCAAGCATGAAATCCCAGTGAAGAACATGGTTCTGATCAAGGGTGAGGGTTGTAAAGAGGCATTTCCTCTTCCTAGCAGCAGTTGGAGGGTCTGCTCTGGCACAGGGCTGGGGTCACTGAGTGTGCTGCTCCACCAGCAGTGACCTGGCTGTTCCAGGTATCACCTGCACGCCTCCCCCAGCCTCTCCCAGGGCACCGAGTGAGGAGTTTCAGAGGGCTCTACTCATTAATAAATCCTTATGAATTCCCCACTGCCTAGCCCAGCACGGCAGAAGGATTCATTCTCCCGGCGTGGGTGGGATGCTGAGGCCTCCAAGCCCTCTCCTTTAGTCTGCAGCATCTGTGTTGCTTCATACTGCCCTGCTGTTAGCTCTCCTCAGAGCTGTCCTTGTGGGAAGCAGAGCAATTCTCCAGTTCCTTTGTGATCCCCACTGGGCACTGCTCCACTTTGATTTTCTTTCTTCCTCTCATTGACTTTTTAGCTCCTGTAAACAGCAAGATGACAGCAGGAGTTAACCACAGAGCAATGGATTTACACCTACAGAGTCAGCGTGGCCTCATCCCAAAATAGGGACAGCACAGGAGGAAGCAAAGCTCAGTAAAGGAGAGATGAAGAGAAACTGAAGAGAAACCTATTACATGTGAGATGTGTGGATTATCTAGGGGAGGCTGTTGTGACCCTGGACACAGAAACAACATGTGAAGCAGAAGTAGGCAGAGAACTGGCCTGGTGCAGGAGTGTATCTGAGAAGGTACCCAGACCAGCAGAATGCATTCCATGCATTTTTCCCCCTTCCAGTGTGGTACGTGGTCCACACCACATGCTGAGAGAGATGTTATGCCTCTCCATCACCCTGTTCCTGCCACAGACACATCCACCCCTCAATTGGGAAATCTCCATCCAATCTTGGAGGGTTGGATGTGTCTGCCCTTGGGTACTACCTCCCCAGTACTCTGAACAGCTGGTTTCGTAGAGCAAGTCCTCTTGTCACTCAGGTGCTGTGATAGTGGAGCTGTTCAACAAGCTTCTTCCATGCTTAAGCAACAGCCCTCTCTGCATTTTTAATTGGACCAACACTTCCCTGTCTTTAACCCCAGTACAGAGTAAGTGAGCAGTGGAGTATGTCTGACAGAGCACTTTTTAAGGCTTGACAAACACACTGTCTTATCCTTGCCCTTATCAGGAGCAGTTTTCTGCTTATTCACCTGTAGGAAACATGGGTACAACACATTCCTCTGTCAGCAGGGAAACCTCCACAGCCACACTGGAAGATCAACAGAACGAGCAGAAACCTTCCTCTGAATGTCAATAACTCACTCCTGGGAATTTGGCCTTCCCCAATCACTACCCCCCCAACCAGCTAAGCAAACATGAAGGACTAAGCTCTGTTAGCTTAGGTGCTCGGGAGTGCTCTCCTGGTCACCCTGCCCAGGCTGCCCTAGGTAACCATTAGCAGGGGCTCCTCTGGCTGGAGACACAAGCATTGGCAAAACATGGTACAGCGTGGCATGTGCTTGATGGAGGAGCATGCCCTTGGTGCCTTCAGGCATTTCTTAAAGGAGCCCCTTGGGAAAACAGCAGAAGATGTAGCCCTGAGCTGTTGCCCTGAAGAACTCCTCCTCCTTACCTTTTGTCCAGGAATCCTGTCCTCTTTTTCTTTTCTTCTGCAGCACATGAGCTTTATCTTTGGTGCAAAAGTATTTCCCATCAGCCTCACCTTCTTGTACGATATCGTCTTCATACGGGGCAGCCTCCTACAGCAACGAGAAGAGCAGTCAGTCTACAAACTACCCTGGTTTTCCCAGGGAGCTGGTGGCATTGCCAAGGACCTTTGTGACCATTGCTATGGAGTGATGACAAATACTACTGTTCATAAACACTCTTGACTAGCTGGAAAGTGCGATACTTCTATCCCTCAGCAACAAGTTGGGTAACAGGGTGGGAATGAGGTTTGGCACCTCAAGCAGGAAGAGCCATCACCTTCTGGAGGGAGCTTGGGTGGGGACAACCTGTCTTACTCCTCTCGGACCTGGCAGCCTAAGTTGATGGCTGAGGAGAACAAACAAACCTCACTGTCCGTCGTATCTGGCTCATCGGATTCCTGCTTCCCAGACTCAGCATCATTGTCATCTAAGGAAACACAGAAAGAAGGTTTTTTTTGGCTGGCAGGAGGTTTGACAAGCTCATGAGCAGATGCAGAGTCACTGGCCCATGCTCTGAGAGCCACTGAGGCAGAAAACAGGTTCAGCAATAAACTGTGTTGCAAAGCAGGGACTGTGAGCTACATGGCTTGAAATGAATGTTTATGGGTGATCCAACAGGACTCTATTGGGAAAGCAGCTCCCAGTAAAGCTGTATCCGTAGAACTTTGCTACTCCAAGGTCACAACTGCTGCCCCGACATCTGTGGCTACATACAGGTGTGGAGCTTAGGGGTAATAAAACCTAGACTGCACCTTCCCTTTTGAGCCCCAATTGGGGAGAAGCATGTTGGGGTAAAGAGGCCAAAAAGGACAATCTTCATGTGTGCTGCTGGTGTTGGTCAGTGGCTTTCAGGGAACGTGTGCCAAGGAGCAGAGAAAGGAAAGGCAGGGGAGATACTTCCCTGCCCAGCAAAAGGATTTTGCAGCACACAAACCCTGAGGCTACAGAACCCCAGACACATACCTGCACGCACCCGACCTCTGCACAGAGCAAATCTGCATGGGTTGGGGGCCAAGCCTGACTGCTAGTGGCATTGCCCTGTCTGCACCCAGAGCAGCACAGCTGGGCTGGCTGTGAAGGGCAGAAAGGGCTGGGGGCAGGGCTGTGCCCTCTTCCAAAGGCATTCCAAAGATCCATAGTAGGATCTTCCTGCTCCTGACAGCCAGGCCCAGCCGGGTGGGGCTCAGCAGGACGGCCTTCCTTGCTGCCCCTGCCCAGGTGGGAGACCAGATGCTGCTGCTTCCAGGCACTCCTTGACCCCCTGTAGCCTGATCTCATCCTCACCTTATCCTTCTGCAGGTTAAGGTTCACGGGAAAGTGCACAAGTATTAGTGTATTGTTTCCTGGGCTTTGTGTCAACCTTAAGGTGAGAACTGAAGAAAGTCCTGTATTCCCACACCCAGAATGTAATCAGCTGAAATTCTTCTGCCATGATGATATCTTCTTAGCATGTAAATCACAGAGGACCTCCCCCCCTCTTTTTTTTTCCACTGTGAAAAATCCTGCTCTGGAGAGTGTTCCCAAACCACTCTGACACACCCAGACCAACTAATCCAGGAGAACTCAACTTTCTGGCCAAGCCAGTAAGGCTGGTACGGAGTAGCTCCCAGCAGACGTGCTTCCCACTCTGCTCCCCATGGCTGCTGCCTCCCACCCACCTGGACAAACCTGGCACCCACATCCCATGACAGTCAGGCAGGGAGAAAGCCTTCAAAGTGCTCTTACAGGGGATGGAGCAGGGAAAGGGAGGAGAGCATCCTGCCCTACTTGCTGCAGGTACCAGCATCCCTGGCTCTGTGCTCCACCCTATGTGCTGTGCTAGCACAGGGCACACTTTGGAGCAAGGGGACAGAGAGCGATGGTTTTCTAGCACTAATCCAGCAAACCTCTCACATTTTCCCCATCTCTACTAGGGACTTCTGAGCTTCTGCTTCCCTGAGAAGCATAGGTAGTGCTGGAGCAGCAACATGGGTCAGTGCTAAGCTAACTTCTTTAGCTCTTGGAGAACTCCATGTCACCTAGCATGGAGTGCAGGGTGCTCTGCAGAGTGTACAAGGGCACCCCATGTGCTGGGCAGAGACACTGAGCTTCTCTCCAGAACAGCCAGGGTTACTTTCTCCCTGTAGATACTGAGACTGAATTTTGGACATCTCAAGGGTTGACAGTTGATCTCTCAAGGACAGAAATGTGAGATGTGAAGTTCCCTCAATGGTCCAAAAGAGCTGGGAGCCAGGAATACGTGAGTCACTGGAAGGGTCACTCCAGGCATCAGGGCTGCAGGTGTGTGCTGAGCCCAGCACAGAGCTCCAGCCTGGGAGATGCCTTCAACAAAACACACCTTTCATTGTTGCCTTCTCAAATGGCACATTTGCCTGGGGCTTTTTACCTTCTTCTCCCTTCTGTACACTCACATCCCGTCTCACTCCAGTCTCTGGAAGGGCCTCTGGGTCACTTGATGTGGAGTTGTTTGTCAGATGTGCCCGTGAGAGTGTGAGCTGTGGGATACAGGAAGCATAAATGCTGCTATCACCAGGCAGGACAAAAGAACTGTCCCCAGCCCTGATGTGGTGACTGTGACACTCATGGGGATGAGCACTGTGTTGTGCTCTGTGGTGTGTTGCAGGGAGCCCAGCACACCTTCTGCACCAGTCTGCAGGCACTGCCTGTCCTAGGGCCTGGACAGAAACCTCAGAGGCATGGGAAGGGAGGTAGGGAAGGAGAGCCCAGGCTGAGTGGTTGTGACTCTGCCATGTGCAAATATGTTCCCGTTGGCTTCATATGTACCAAAGCCATTCTCCTATGGGTCATTTACACTGGTTACAATGGTGCCTGCAGCAGAGCTGGACACCTTGGGGAGGGGAAGGGGCCACAGTTGATTCCAACATGAGCTGTACTCACCACAGCTGCATCCTCTTCCTCCTCCTCCTCCTCCTTCTTGGCAGCACCAGGCAGTGCCCGGGTGGTACTGGGCCAGTGGTAGGGGAAGCGTGGGTTGTCCCGCTGTGCCCCGTGTCTCCCGCTGGGACCACGGGCTGCCAGCACAGTGGGGCTCTCCCTGGGGCTCAGCCGAGGGCTGTCAGACCCCTGTGCCTCCCTGTGGTTGTGCCAGTCTGCTTCCCTGCCACGGCTGGAGTCTGACAGATCCAGCGGTGTGTCTGCATCATCTTCCCTTGGTTCCTTCACCTTTACTCGGAGCTCGGACCTGTCCCGGCTCAGCCAAAGCTCCTTCTCTTCCTTCCCATCCGCAGCATCCTCCAGGAAGGACCTTTCCTCCTTACACCCTGCTGTGATCCTCAGCCATGGGGAGAGGGGTCGCTCCTCAGGTGTGAGCTTTGGGTCTCTCTCTGCCCTCTGGCCTGGCTGGCACTGCTGCATGAGGAGATGCTGCAGCCGCTCCCGGTGCTTGAGGAGGTGTAGCTTCTCCTCCAGATGCTGATCTCTCACATACACCATGGCAGCAGGGAGCTTCAGCAAGGCTGCGTGATCTTCCCAGCTGTCTCCTGACCGTGTCCTGCTGTCACTGTCTTTGGGGAGAAGCTGCTGCTGTCCCGATCAGCTGAGCCACAGTGACTCGCCAGCCCCAGGTGGTGCAGGGAAAGGTGCTTATGAAGGAGGCAGAGCTGCTCCCTCCGGGCAGTCAGTTTTAGGTTTTCATAGGATGGAGCAACCTTTGAAGAGTCCAGTTTGCTTGCTGATAAATAGCTAAAAAAGTTGGAGGAAAAATTAATCACATCAACTAGAGAATTTTCCCATGGTTTCCCAGCCCTACAGGGCATGTGCATGGTCTCTCCTGCTCTTTCTGTGCCCTGTTGCAGCTCCTGGCCTGTACATCACACTTGGCTTCGAGTGCTGTGCTGAGGAGAGGGTCCTGGTGGCTGGGGAGGTCAGGCAGCTGGTTTCCAAGCTGTATAGACAGCCATCCCCATCCCACCATCCTGCAGTGCTCTCCTGTTCCTGGGCCACAGCAGCTCCAGGCACGAAGTTAAGTGAGGGTGAGGATGCAGTAACCACTCACATCAGCACTGCTGCTGAGAAGTAGTTTTTCAAATCATGCCTTACAGTCAGCAGCATCCTAACTACCTCTGGGGCTTTCTTAGTGTCTTGGTGAGCCTGAAGACCCCCAGGACAGAGGAACAGCCTACCCTCCCCTAATCTCACTCAATGGGAGATTTTACGGACATGCTAAGAAGGTTAGTACATGAACCTGCCCTGCAAACTCACTCCCCACTACCACTGGTTATTTGGCAGCTTCCATGACTGCAAACTTTTCCTGGGAATGATCAGCAGAACTACTCCTGCTCTGGGAAATGTGCTGTCTCTACAGGTGAACTCACTGGCCTTGCTCAGGCCTTTGTGCTCCTGGAATCGATGGGGAGCATAAGCCCAGGAAGTGCTGAGGGCTGCAGAAAAGCCCATTAGAATAGATAAGGAGGAGCAGGGATTGCTGCCTGCCATGGGGCAGGTCCTTCACCCAGCTGGAGGTGGGGGCACCCAGCTGGCTTTACGGGTCTGTCTGAGAGGCTGGAATAACAAGATGCTGATCTTGTTGGGCTGGATTCCAGTCATTTTTTACTGGTGTAAACTGGGAGATCCCCCTCTCCCCAAGGCTGTGGGAGAAGCCTGGAGAGGAACAGTGAGTACTGTCCATCTCATTGCAGTCTGCCCTGTGGGACAGCTCAATGGGCCATGGATCAGGCCCATGCCATGACCCATGGTACTCACGCCTCAAGGCTGGGACTGTGCTCACGCTCTGGAGGGAGAGGAGTCTTTCTTGCTGGTGGGGACACTGCTGCTCCTGAAGGACTTTTTTCCAGGAGGCAGGGTCTGGAGCCAGGTCTCACCAAGGCAATGGTTCCATGCAGCTGGTTGGAGATCCTCTGGGATGCCTGTGGCAGAGGGGAGAAAGTCCAACCATTCTGCTGTGCACCCCAGGCTGCAGGGAACCCAGCTGTACTGGGACACAGCTCTTCACCAGTGAGAACAAGACAGACAGCTCCTGAGTGCTCTGTTTGTTATGATTCTAGTCAACAGCTTGACCAGATTTTTATTTGTTTTCCCAAGAAAGTTCTCCTTCGTGTTTTCTACTGAGATCTGCTATACCCTCTATTTTCTGGCTGCAGTGATTTGTAGCCCAGAATGTCTTGCGTCTCCTCTCAAGTCAAGTCATCATTCAGTGGATTAACCAAACAAGACCCTGCAAATTCCCTGGCCCCTAGTCAGGCCTTTACTCATGCAAGACTTTACTCACTCAAGACTTTACTCATGCAAGCTCCTGGCATGCAAGCTCCTGTTTTGGTGGGTGTATTTATAATGGAGTACCTAGTTGTGAGGCCAGGACATCATCATCTCCATCAGCTGCCATGAAAGGCTCACCACATGTTCTGACTTGACTTTCCCCTGCCCACCTGGAGATGCCACCAGCCCTTCCTGTGATCCCTATTAATTATCCCCACAGCCTGCCTGCAGCCTTACCAAAACCCCTTTCCACCTGCTCTTTCAAGTTGGTTTTTTTTTTATGGAGGTCAGGTAAGTGATACCTGTGCCAAAACAGAAGCATCTATGTGGGTGTGTATGTGGGCTTGAGATTCCACGACCAGGAACAGAGCTCCAGGTCCTGCAGTCTCATCTCCCAGTGCCTAATGTCACCATATCACTCAGGAACCCTCCACACACACTCTGTGTTTTAAAGGCATGGCAGGTTTGGAATCAATGCACAAAATGGCAAGCACTGAATGCCAGGCCTTCTGAAAATATCAGTATTCATTATACTGCAGATGGAGAGACATCTGCAATGCTCTTGGGCAGGGCTGCTGTGGTGTATTTGTTCCCAGAACCCACAACTCCCACAGTTTACATGTTCTCCAGGCTTTTTCAGCATTCACTGTGCTCCAGCTTCTTGCTTGCCCAGGTAATGAAGAACTGACTCTATGGCTCAGGATAAGCAACATGGAAATGTGGCTCAGCACAGTCTCCCCAGGTCCTTCACTCCTTAGAGGTTTCCCCAACAAAACATCTGAGAGAGGAACCAGAGCAATGGGCAGAGGACTCAAGGATGCTGGATGTGTTCTCATGGAGGATGAACACAGGAGCAAACAGGGATGTGCACACTCACAGCAGGGACAGGAGCCTGTTCCAAACTTTACATGCTTTGCTTGCAGTGAGTGGCAATTTCTGCAGAGAGGGTGCATCTGGCATTTGGTAGATGCCTTCATTGGCTCTGCCAATGATAAACTGCCAAAATCTGGCTAATTTTTCC